CAGGAAAATGTTTGCACCACCTTAAAATTTCGTCAGTCATTAAATAATGACAAAACGCAAAAACGTTATATTTTTTCACGTCAATTCCATCATAAGTTTGCCAGAAAAATTAAAAAAACGTGAATTTTGGCAGAAAGGGTGTAGAACATCCTTAACTCAAGAAAAATTTCTATTTAACTATAATCTCCTCTCCGGAGTGGTATTCTCGGGATCATGGGGCTAGGGAAATAAATTACGAAAGAAACGCACAAAACTTAATTACAAAAAAATGAAAACAATTAGAAAAATCGAACTCAAACGACCTTGGCGATTCACGCGAGAGCAACGGTCGGGATTGATCGCGTGACCTTCCACCTAACCCAAAACTAACCCTTCCCAAACCCCAAAAATCCACTAATTGAGTGGTAGTATTCCAACTACTCCTACACAATCCCCAAAAATTCGAAACGAAGGGAAGAATCCTCAAAAATGATCGTGCAGCTCGGTAATATCTCGGCCTAAGTCACGAAAATTCTATCGGCCCTATATAGTTAATTTTTCCCCATGCAGTTAACAAAACAGAAAGTGTGAAACGCAAAAGAAAAGACAAAACGAATCCAAAATACGAAAGAGGTGTCAGAACGCAAAACAAAATTCCCAATAACGCAAAAACAGATAAGAAAAAAAGGCATTAGAACGCAAAACTGAAATTGTAATGAATCCAAAAACACTCGAAATCTCCAATTATTAACAAAAATGAATTGATTCGAAACTATTGGATCGACTGGGTCATTTTCTCTGCGTACTTACCGTTTTTCCGGTAGTTTTTCCGTTGATCCCGCGGCGAGCGAAGGGATTTCCCCAGAATCCCTTACAATGGTATAGTGGGATACCGAAGTGAATGGGAGTATGGAATGAATCTGGTAGTGAATTAATTTAATTTTTTTTACTTTTTTTACTTCTTTCATTTACTTTTTCAATTTTTATATTTATGGTTCGCTAAATTGAATGATTGGATGAAATTAGATGGTGGGGTGTGAAATTGAATTTCGGAGTAAAAATTTTGAGAATACTATTCACTGCTCAGATTGTGGGATAAAGTGGGACGGTGGGTAAAATGGAATAGCCTGACAAATTGGACGATCAACAAAATTGGGCGGCGGGCGAAATAGGACAACAAGGCAAAATAGGATAGGGTGAATTGACAATGAAATACTGGTCTTAGACAGAATAAGGGTTTAAAGCGGATCCATTTTACCCCATAGCCAGGTTAGTGCGCCGTCCAATTTACTTTGTTGTCCTATTTCACCCCCTTCCCCCGGCTCAAATTCGCCCATCGTCCAGGTTGGTCTAGTCTAACTCACCTCCCAGGTTTACCCCACTAGCTAATTAGCATGTCACTTAGTTCACCACTCATTCCATTTTACCCCACGATATAATTCGCCCCTCACCCGATCACCAGATTATCCCATCTTGCTCCGTTGTCCAATTCATTACTGCTCCCCCCCCCAGTCATCCCCTGTACTGTATTATACTTGCTCCAGTATCTTTTTAATTAATAATGAATGAATCAATAACTCATTTTAACGACATCCTGATTATCAGCCCCGAAAATTCTAAATCCCTATCTTTCAATGAGAGACTCCAGTCTCTACCGTATTGGCGAAGACTTAGATAGGCTGAAGTCTTCCACCAAAGACTCTCCGAGACACGAGACACGAGACACGGTTACGGGAGTTCCAGGCAGGCTGATTTTAGTCTCTCACAGTCTTGGAGAGATCCAATGTACCCAAAATTTTTATCCCGGGAAATTAAAAAAGTAAAACAATTGAATTAATTCGCCATCGGATTCACCCCTTTACTCCAATTCACCCTATTATCCCACGTTACTCCACTGATGGAGTAACTTACCGTTCCGGTTTACTTTAGGGTTTCATTTAACCTTATTCCATTTTGCCCCGCTATCCCATGTTGCCACACTCTAACTAACCTGCTTTCCCATTTTACCCTGCTGTCTAATTGGTCCACTCCACTCCAGTATCTCATTTTGCGCCATTATACCTTTCATTCCAGTTTCTCTTATCATGCCCCCCTCTCCGTTATCCTATATTACGCCACTGTTCACCTTGGTCAATTCTCTCCTATCTCCTCCCTCTCATTAATTGCGCATATCAAGCGAGAACATATACGAGCTGCCATTAAGCAGCTGCACAGCTCAGAAGATACCGGGTTAACCTGCCATCACTAAAGCTAAGCGGTAGCGAGTTGGGTTAGTAAAAGAAGGGGTAACCGAAAGGGAAAATGGCGGACCGACCGGGAAGGAACTGGAGAACCGCTGAATCAATTTTTTTGTTCATAATTGTTGAATTCATGAATTAAACTTTATATTAACTACATCAATGTATTCACTTATTTTCCAACGATGAAATTGAAGGAGTCTCTCGCCGAGGAACGCTCCACAGTTCTCCGCAGAGGAACCAGTCCCTCCACAGTCTTGCCGCGTCTCTCACGCAGTTTCTCAAAAGTATGGCTAGTGGAGTTCAGGAATACTTTCTCATAAACGCAGACGCGAGTTTTGCAGACTCCGAAAAGACTCAAATTTTTCATGCCGGGAACATAAGGTGCCATCAAGCGCAAGATAAAAAAACGAGTGATTTTTTAAACTTTTCACTCAAAACCCAAGAAAACAACCATATGGATTATGGTATAAACTAATAAATAGGAATTATAACACAATCAGTCATACTGGTAGGGATCATCGCAAATCACTTCGTTGCATCAAAGCACGTCGTTGAATGACTTTTTTGTATGGAATGATTCTGATAGGGAATATTTTGTTTAGTGCAGAAATGTAAAACCCACAATTACTCTTGTATTTGGCTATTATGCTAATAGACATATTTAAAAAGGAACAAAAAACTTGAAAGATATCGGGATAACGTGCGAACATGGAAGCTAATCCCTAGCGAGTTGAACCAGTCAAAGGATGAGTGCCCGAAAGGGACCACGGCGGATCGAGAGTGGGAACATCCGGAGAATGGCGAACTGATTTTTTTTAACTTCCCGACCCGTAGGGAGGTAGTTACTTTTGTTTTTCATTATCGTTGAATTGACGCATCAACTGCATTGATATATTTAATCATTTTCTAATAATGAAATTGGAAGACTTATCAATGAGAATTTCTTTTTTCCTCAGTTCGCCCAATCAGAGCGCAGTATTCGAGCTCAGGTGATACTTTTACATCCGTAATGTTTAAGGTGCTACGTGACCTCGATCACTGTGCTGTGATTGGTCGCACCCAGGAGATAAGAATTCTCCTTCGAATCACCCTTGGTCTTCAAAATTCAACGGATATTTCCCTCAAGTTTCCCTGCGTATCAGCGACCGGGATAAATTTTACAGAAAAATCCCTTGCGTTTCCAGCTCGTGAGTTTTATCCTACAAAACTCATCCCCCTGATTGGTACGCAACGAAGCTGTCGGGAAATATACGATAATTTAAAAAATCTAGGGGTATTAGAACTGACTCATTAACTATTGAGATGCGTAAGAAACGGGGAGTCTCTCGCCCAGAGACCCTCGGTGGCAGCGTCTCGATAGTCTTGGACTGTCCTCTCGGAGTGCTTCAAAAGTATGGCTAATGGCGCGGAGCCATACTCTCTGAGAGACTCACGCGCGAGTGTTGCAGACCACAAAGGGACTGAAATTTTTCATCGCGAGTCATTTCAACCATCCGCTGCTAGTCCGTATTTCAATGACAGTTGAATGTGACAATATTGAAATTCAGAGGGCGAGAGATAGGCAAAACTTACTCTTTGTCGCAATTGATAGTATCTCTCAGTCTACCAGTATTTTGTTGTACCCAGCGTGGGGAGTATTTACAATTACAGTATGTTCTAGACCTAAAGAGATCAATCTCAACAATGGTTTATCGGCATTTAATTGCGAGCTCATTACTTGATCATAATAATTGTGTTATCTGACTGATTAGAAAGAGTTTACGACTTTTGTACGCGTCTCATTCAGGTGTGGTCTGTGCATGCCCAAACGGTCTCTTAAACAAATCGACTGGGTTGTTGCGGGTGGGTTGAAATTCAACTGGTTCATTAGTGGCTCGTTTCGCTCGCTCCCATCGTGGCCGGATTGAATTAGGTGGGACTCATTACGGGTCAAATCAATAAATTCCCAACCAATTCCCCTTTTTGTGTTTATTAGAAAGAAAAAACGTAAATTTTGAATTTTCCATCCGGATAACAACAAAACGGCTGAGACGATTTTCCTCAGAATCCCAATGAAATCGAATTACATGTAGATGCATCTACCGTACTAAAAAAATAGAACCTATCATTATTCTCGGTAAAATTGTCGAATTTTCAAAGAAAGCACACTTTTTTTTATTTTTTCAGTTTTTAAGTTTTATGCGAATAACTAACGAACCGCTGCGACGATTGTCTTCATAACCTAATCAAGTCTAAGCCAGATTAACCCGCATCAATTAAAAAAAAAATTCTTTGAATCGGTGCAATTGTTCAAAAGTTCACAAAGTTCGTTACAATCACTTTGTCCCTTCGGGTCGGGAAGTTGATAAAACATCGACTGATTGGTTATATTTTGGCACATGGTCAGCATAATCCAGCTACATTGGCAAGTGTCACATTGACAATGCTATATGAACATATCTTCAACAATAACATATTTGAACAAATCTGAATCATAACAGTGTTACTTTCAGGGATATTGAAAACTTAAAGAGGACAATTCTATCCCTCCCTTCTTTTATCTGAAATATTATAGTCTCCTAAAAAAACAGTAAGAACTCCATCGTCATTTGCAGTAGCGCTTCATCCCATATGATTCTAAGTTTGTCACCTCACCCAAATTCGCTATCGAAACGTTTTATGAGTTTCCATTATAACTGATGCGAGACAAATAAGATAAATATAATAAAATAATTAAATAATTGGTAAATCTGGTCGTCAAAAAAATGAAATCACATAAAGAATACTCGTCTTTGCTTCTAGATGTTCGCCTGGAAAAGTCGACTACCGGGCGAAGGAAAAGGAGGTTCTGGACGATATTCTTGGAGAGAAAAAGTACGATGCCCGTATTCGACCAAGCGGAGAAAACGGAACAGGTAAATATTCCTTTAGAGAGAGAAAATTATTATTAATAAATTCAACTATTTTCACTAAGCTGTATCAGTAATTTGATTGAATTTTTTCTCAACTCTCAACCGGAAAATATATTGCCTTATGTACGAAAATGATGTGAGCGTTGAGCCGTACCTGTGCGAGAATTTTTGAAAATTTCTCATCGGATCTTTTAGTTCACCATTCGATTAACATGAGAAATTGGGGAAGTCTTTTGATGATCTCTCATATGATCAGTAAATTTTGTTTAATCGTGTTACGTCATGATTTCACAGACTTACCTTCGATAAATCCGGAAATATGAGTATTGAAATCACCTGTTTTAGCCTATCCGTTAAGATAATAGCTGGGAATGGTGAGTGCTTTTAGGTTATCCATAAATAAAAGAAAGACAGATTTTTGTATAACGTGGATTTTTAACTTTAATCCAATAAATTTTTCCTCTGATTTTACAAGTTCTGATAACAATGGGTATTTAATAATTCAAATTGATTGATGCATTCCATTCAAATATTTATTTTCATTCATTATCAAATGTCTTTGAATTCTTTTTGAATCAAAATTTTATTAATAAAAAAAAACAACACAAAAAAAAATATTAATAATTACTTATGTGTCCTCTTATCTGTTCTCTGAGTTTAACGTCCGAGTGATAAACAAATTTAATCATTGAGGACTTGACTCAAACCTTGAATGAGATTTTACAAATAAATTGAATCGATTGATCAATAATCAATAATTTTTGGTAATATTTACTTCTGAGTTGAAAGAATTCAAAGTACTAATAAAGGAAAAAATTTCCTTTCACACGGAGTAATAATTATAAAAGATTTCAATTCCTAAATGGAATGACTCATTGAAGCACAATGATTCTAATTAATAAAAATAATTGAAGTACAATCAGGAATCTCCCTGAATATAATAATGATAGTTACGACAGAAGGTCTGTTCATTTAACAACAGTATTTGGGGTTAAATATATATAATATAATCATTATCAGACATTGAACATAATTGAATTCAATCCGAAGAAATCGATGCTAATGTCTCTAAAGACGTAGTGGAAAATAAAGAATTCTTTTGATTTGTAAATCCACAAGAAAGAAACAATGGAAATAATAATGCTCAATTTAAGTTTTGAGGCTTTCGCGGCCATTATTAATTATATTATTGGCTTCCGGATGGATGCCGCGTTTGGTTTCAGCATTGCGCCAACGTTTCGCAAACATTGCAGTCTGCATCTTCAGGGCTATGAGCTCCGATTCTGAGCTCCGATGTTTGGGGGTTGTCCTTATATGTCTTCCCCTGTGATGGTGGGGGAAGGGGAAGGGGGGGAGTTAGCCAATCGTATAGTTTTAATTGATTAGCTGGTCAATTAAAAAACCGGGAGGACGGTTTTCCAAATGGGGTTCACTTGATATCCTTTGTCCTTGTTGAGGTTGTTGGGGTTGAAATCCATAAAAACCCCCCACTCCCCGCCACTCTAAGGGAGGGCATATAAGGACGACACCCGCACGTCTAGAATTGGAGCTTACAAGATCAGTACCTTGGTGGGGGGAAAGGGGGTCAGCCAATCAGAGCTTTTTAATTGGTCAGCTGACCAGGACAAGGGCTTACAGCCCTGAAAATGCAGACTGTAATGTTTGCGAAACGTCGACGCAATGCTGAAACCCAACGCAGCATCCATCCGGAAGCCAATGATAATAATAATAATCATGGCCGCGAAAGCCTCAAAACTAAGATTAAACGCCTCCACGGAGAGGCTATTCTTGGGTCGGTGAATTTATTCACCAAACTTAGGAAGTCGTTGCACGTCCAACTGTGCTCCTTAACCTTTTTTAGAAGGTGCCGCGACCAACAGGTAGTGCCTAAATTCCTTCGTTTGAAGAGTCCTTTTCCCTCGAAGCAGGCCAACATCATCCTTCACCAGGCTTCGCTTAAACTTATTCGAGAGAGGATAGCAGCAGCCAAGAAGAACCTGGCTCAACTCTCTCGACAAATTTTGGATCTCCACCTTTTTCTGTCTTGTTCGTTGGAGTCTCAGCTGTGGGAGACTCTTGATCGTGTTACACACGAACAAGCAGTCCGCACTGCTGAGATGACAACCGAGACTCAAAAAGGGAAATTCAAAAAATTAATCCCACAGGTCCAAGCCCCAATCCTCACACACACACTGAAGAATCTGAGCAAACACCAGCTCAGTGAAACAGAGGTGTCGGTACTCGCGAAGGGACACAATTTCGCTGTCGCCCCCAAGAAAATTCCTACTGAGGAAATTATCAGTCAAACCGAAACGGCAATTTACCATCTGCCGCAGGAGACTGGTGATGCAATCCGAAGAAAGTTGTCCAATATCCTCCACAAGGCTACTCCCTCTAGTGACAATGTCATGAAGGAGGAACGCCTGGCATTGCGTAGTCTTAAGGAGAATAACGACATTATTATTCTTCCAGCGGACAAAGGCAACGCCACAGTGGTCATGGATGGGATAACTACTCCGGAAAGCTCAGTGCGATGCTAGGAGACTCAAAAGTTTATACCAAACTCAGGAAAGATCCTACTCGCACAATTGAACGCAAAACCACGGAACTCCTGAAGAAAGCTGGCCTTTCGGCTGACTTGACTAAGTCCCTCATTCCCAAAGAATCCTTCCCCCCCCCAGACTCTATGGACTTCCAAAAATCCATAAAGAGTCATTTCCCCTCCGCCCTATCGTCAGCAACATTGGTGGGCCAACTTACCAACTGGCAAAGTTTCTTACGAAACCACTCCAAAAGTTGACTGGTCGAAATGATTCCTACATCCAAAACTCTCTGAATTTTGTTAACAAACTGAGAATTCTCAGAAACTCTTCGGAGGATATCCTTGTGAGCTTTGATGTAGAATCTCTATTCACCAACGTCCCAATCCCTGAAACCTTGGAAATAATCAAAAAATCCAAGGACATCCCTTCCCAACTCCTCCCTCTGGTTGAGCACTGTTTGACTTCTACATACTTCCAATTCGAAGGAGAGTTCTATGAGCAAAAATCAGGTGCCGCGATGGGTTCTCCCATTTCACCTATTATTGCAAATATATTCATGGAACACTTCGACAAGGAAGTATTGAAGTCAGCTTTGCGAAAACCCTCTGTGTGGGTTCGGTATGTGGATGACACTTTCGTCATCTGGCCACATGAGAGAACAGAACTAACCCACTTCCTGGAGTACTTGAATGCCCAACACACAAGCATCAAGTTTACCATAGAAGTTGAAGAGAATGGATATCTCCCTTCCCTGGATGTCCTTGTCGAACGTAACCCTGACGGGACTTTGGGTCACCAGGTTTACCGCATGCCTACCCATACACATGGATATCTTCAAGCTACTGCCCACCACCATCCATCCCAGAAAAACTCTGTGATCAGTTCCTTGATGTACAGAGCTCTCACCATTTCCCAGTCCTCCAACATCGACAGCGAAATTGAACATCTCGAAACTGCCCTTAGCAACAATGGGTACAAGATCCAACAAATTCGAAGGATCAAGGATAGACTACAGAATAAACTATCAGCTCCCCAAGAGGAGTCTAGACCTGAGGAGAACCAGGAAAGGCCAAGACTGACCGTCCTCCCCTACCTAAAAGGTACGACAGAAAGCGTAAGCAAGATCCTGGGCAAACACAACATCCGAACGATCTTTCAACCTCCGAAGAAGATCGGACAGATGCTGCCAAGTGCAAAGGACCCACGACCACCCCTTATCACACGAGGAGTTTATGAAATCCCTTGCTCATGCGGAAAAGTGTACATTGGAGAAAGAGGGAGGAAGATCAGTACACGGATCAAGAAACACCAACGGTGCTCCAAATACGGTCACCTGGAACAGTCTGCCCTGGCTGAACACTGGATGGATACTGGACACACTATTCAGTATGACCAAGCCAGAATGCTCGCTAATTCCCAAGCATATTTCTAAAGGAAATATCGGGAAGGTCTGGAGATCCATAAGAACCCTAACAACCTAAACAGGGATAGAGGATATCAGATGAACGCCATTTGGAAAACCGTCCTCCCCGTTTTTAATTGGTCAGCTGACCAATTAAAAAACTCTGATTGGCTGACCCCCTCCCCTCCCCCACCACTCTAAGGGAGGGCATATAAGGACGACACCCGCACGTCGAAGCTCAGAATCGGAGCTTATAGCCCTGAAAATGCAGACTGCAATGTTTGCGAAACGTCGGCGCAATGCTGAAACCCAACGCGGCATCCATCCGGAAGCCAATGATAATAATAATAATCATGGCCGCGAAAGCCTCAAAACTAAAATTATTAAATATTTCTGTATAGTCATTATACATTCTTTGGGAAGTTCGCGTAATATCAGAAATGAAAATATGAAAATATGAAAATTTATTCAATTTGTCTATAGCTTTTTCAATACTCTGATCTTTTGAAATATTGTTAATATTTTCATGAGTAACATTAAATGGAGATTTAAAAGCTTTTATCGATTTCCACATATCTTGACTATTCTGACGAGACAATGATGAGCAAAACTTTGAAACTCTTCCTTTTTACTTTTCTCAATTTTTTCTCAACTTTTTTTTATTATTTCCATAATGTTATCAAAAATGGCCGTAAACGCAAATCTTTCAAAAAAAATTCCGCTTCTCTCCTTTCTTCAATAAGCTCAGTACGGTTAGGCGTCCACCATATGGTACGTGGAGGAGACTTTCTACAGCCTGAGATTTTAGAAAACTCCACTTTTGGCTCCAGATCCTAGCAAATTCTTTTTAATAGCTTCAATTAACCCATTATATTTATATTCTGCACCGAAATCGTCTAAATCTCTAATCAAATTTTCCGAAAAATCTTTAACGTGGGTTCTAAACCCGACTACTTGACTTTGTTAACCGATATTTTTTCTCTCAGAGAGGTTCTGAAAAAGAGAGAATAATTTGACCATTCTATAAAAATAGGATAATGGTCACTTCTCAAACTATC